TTTTTTTTTTTTTTTTTTGGAGAGGTTTTCACTATAAAGCGCGTGCGCTCGCCAGACAGAGAGAGACATAGAGACAGAAAGCAAGAAATCACCTCCCAGGGGGGATGGCCATGCCGCAATCCCTTCTCCTCCATTCTCCTCTCGGGATCTTGGACTCGCATGCACACGCACCCAGCATGAGTTTTAAGCCACCAGGTCCGGGACGCAAACTGCAGGCGACTACGTGGGAGTCCAGCGACATAGCCATTACGCTAACTGCTGGTTCCCTGGATAGGGTTCTCATAGGTGTCAGAAACAGCAGGGACCTGAGAGTGTGCCTCTGGGCTCCCTGCACTGTGCCACCCACCATACGAGTCACAAGAAGATGGTCCCTGCAGTTAGTATGTGCTAGAATCCTGACCCAGGGTTTCCTCTGGGGGCAGCTATCTCCTGTAAGTCACAGCAATGAAATGCCCCTGGAAGAAAGGCCCTGCCACTGCCGTCAGCTGCAGGTGCCCAGGCATGCTCTGGGAACATGGTTCACACTGAGCGAGGAGCAGAGTACTTCGCCAGACCGACCCCAGGTCTGGCTTTCCTCTGCCCACCTGAGCTCCCTTGCTGACCTGAGGCAGGAGTGATCACACAGGAGAAAGTCCACACTCGGACTAGCCAAGGACCGTTATCCCACATGGGCCTTGCATTCACCTTGGCCATCTCTTGATATAGCTCCTTCTTGGCAAGCATGGTGGAATTCAGCATCTGAATACTGTAGTTGTAGACAGCCTTGCTGGCGGGGACTGGGATTCTAAGCACCTTGGTCATGGACTTTGGTGGCTTCTTGCTGACATGGTAGGCTTCTGTGATGTTTTTCTGGAGAAAGAGGTACCATTTACTGCCTGTACCAGGTACCCCTCACCACCTGTCAGCTCTTACATGGGGAGGTCGCCTTTGGGCCATAGTTGTGGTACAGGTATTGATTTATTATTGAGTATTTAAACTTGATTCCTTTTTTTTTTTTGGAGAGGTTTTTGCTATAGGGCAAAAACATGTGTGTGCCAGAAAGACAGAGAGAGAGAGAGAGAGAGAGAGAGAGAGAAAGCGAGAAATCACCCCCGCAAGGGAGCATGGCCACGCTGCAATCCCTTTTCCTCCATTCCTAGGGATCTTAGGCACGCACACACATGCATGACTTTAAGTCACTGGGTCCGGGACTCAAATCGTGATTGACTACATGGGAGTCCAGTGACATAGCCATTACACCAACTGCTGGTCCCAGAATTGTGCATTATTTTAAATGTATACATCTAAAAACTATTCCCAGGGATGATAGAGTCCTAGCATACTTATAAAAGGATCAAATCAAGAGGATAAAAGTTTGAAATTTGTATATACAGAAATGTAGCCTTGGGGCCGGCAGGTGACAGGGTGGTTGAGGCGCTGGACTCCCACATGGCTGACTGCAGTTCCAGTCCTGGACCTGGCGGCTTGTGTCCTCACTCTCTCCTACTCTCTCTGTGTCTCTCTGGTCAAATTGGAGAATGGTAGTAGTAAATAAAATAATAAAATAAAATAAAATAAAATAAATAAATAAAATAAAATAAAAAATTAAATTAAATTAAAATAAAATAAAATGAGATAAATAATTTTTAAAAAGAAATGTAGCCTTAATATGTATAAAGTAAAAATAGATGTGCAAGAGAGCAAAAAACCCCTCGTCACCATATTTGCAGATTGTAATGGACTTCCCCTAGTAACAACATAATGGTCAAAGAGAATATCAAGACAGTGAACTGGAAGATGGGGCAGACCTTGACAAACACCAACAGGGAGGAACTGAGAGGGAGCACCCGGCTATAGTGCTGCAGGCGGCAGGGGTGCTCTGGCACCACGGGCAGACCATCGGGGAAGGCGTGGGCTTCCACGCAGGGCTTCTCACACACCAGCAACCACCACTGTGGATCCTAGGAGCTCTAGAGCAGCACAAAGACCCTGTGGGCCCTTCCCTTCTCTCCCCACTCTAAAAATAAGCAAAGATGGACAATATTATGGAGGAAGGCTCTTTATGTTTTGGTATCTACATAATAGACTTTCAGAAAAGGAGTACAGAGGGAGAAAGAAAAGTCAGTTAAACAAAAACCTGCCTGGACATCGATCTAAGAGTTAACACAAGAATGAATGGAAAGTCTAAGAGTCTAGAGGGAAACGGTTTAGGTGAATGGAAAGGAGAATTGGATGGCGTGGGACTCAGCCACAGCCCTCACTTCTAGGGGCAGTGGAGTTCTAGGCGTGGGGGCTAGAGTCTGCCGCCCTAAGAACAGCTCCCATCTATTTAAATGCAAGGACAAAGGGAGGACCTCAGACCTGCAAGTGCTTTTCTTTTTCATGGTGAAAAAGTGTGTATTTAGAATGAGCCGGCTGGACTCGCTTTAGGTGATCCCAGTTTTGTTGGCAACATCCAAAGCATCCTAACCGGGAGCTGGTCACACACAGGCCTTCTCTCCAGCAGGCCTGGTTAGAGTGGACCTTGGCCACATCCATGTAACAGAGCTTCACAGCCTGCTCCTGTGCTCCTTGCTGGCTGCGAGGCTCCCTATGTGTACAGCAGAGATGAGGGTGGGCGGGGAAGGCAGAGCCGGGGAACAGAGTGCCCCCCACCACCTGGATCCGCTGGTGAAGGGCAGAAGCCTGGCTGGGCCAGGATGCTCACACAGCTGACCTTCACAACTCTCCAGAAAATAGAAGGGCAGGGAACATGACCTAATTGATTCTGGGGCTGGTGTTACCCTGATACCAAAACTGAAACAAAAACAGCACAAGAGACCACAGACTATTAACAAACCAAGCTCGGTCACATATAAAAAGGTCACAGCCAAGCAGGGTGAGTCCCAGACTGCAAAGTTGGTTCAGCAACCACACATCACACCACATCATCAACTCAATATGCAGAGGACAATATCCAGTGAAATGCAACCTCTATTCATAATACAATTCAACCTACTAAGGCTACCAAGAACCTTCCTCCACCTGATAAGGGCATCTCCCAAAAGCCTGCAGCTAACATTCAACTTAACAGTAAGAGACTGGATACTCCCAAGATCTGAAACAAGGCAAGCATGTCTGTCCTCACCGCTCCTGTTTGAAAATGTACATGTTTGCTCTTGCCAGAGGGAGGCAGACCAGGAAAGCACCCTTTAGTGGGCATGGTCATGTGGGTCCTCTCTTCTGTTTCTACACACTGTTGGAATTTGGGGATCACACACATACACCTGTGGCATGATTTTCAAACCACTGGGTCTGGGACTCAAACCACAGTCAGCCATGTGGGAGTCTACTGCCGTAACCATTATGCCACCTACTGGCCTCTACATAAGTTTTTATAAATAGTCTTTATAAAATATGGCCAGGAATATTTATAGCTTAAATACATGTATTAAGCAAGAAATAATAAAAATGAATTAACTCAAGAAGCTTGAAAAGAGAGAAAAGTATAAAATTTAAAAGACAGAATAAAAGTCGTGGTAATGAATTAGAAGAAAAGAGAAAAATCAGAATTGATGAACAAAACCAAGAACCTTTTTTTTTGGAAGAAACTACAATCCTGCACACTGAGGGAAAGAACAAGCTCACCCTGGGTTTTCATAAGGAACGCACACAGGCAGGCCAATGGGTGGTGTGAAGGTTAAGGCAACTGGATTCCGCCTGGCCAGGGTTAAAGTCTTGGGTGTGGCAACTTAAAAATCATGCCGTGTGTGTGTGTGTGTGCGCGCGCGCATGTGTGTGCGTGCGTGCATGTGCGCGTGTGTGTGTGTGTGTGTGTGTGCGCGCGCACGCCCAAAACCTCAGTAAGGGAAAGGACTGTGCCGTGACCTTCTCTCTGGGGGGTGGTTTCTCACTTTCCCTCGGACCTGGGTTTTCAGTGGATACTGAGGGTGGGACTGGCGGGGAGCAGAGGCTTCACGTGCTCATGGGCAAACAGGTTCCAGTCACTCCTTGGACGTGTGTAGGTGTTTGGGTTGGGGTGGGCACGAGGGAGGCTCTTGTTCGGGCTGTTGGGCCTCCCATTACCTCACCGGTTGCTCAGCCTCCCGTCCTCACCCTGTCTCCTCGTGCCTTCACATGCAGGTCCGTGTCTTTCCTGTGTAGCTTAGACAGCTGACGGCACTCCCCCCCGCAGCTTCAGCGAGATGTCACACACAGACGTGCTCACACTCGAGAGGAACTTGGGGCTGTGGTACGGGGACATGCACAGACACCCTCCAACCCTCTCAGGAAGGCCAGGTGAGCCAGTTTGGAGACACCCACGGACACCCTCCATCCCTCTCAGGAGGGCTGAGTAAACCAGGGCTGGAGGCGATGCTCCTGGCATGGCTGAGCCCTGCCTCCTGCACTTCCTGCCATCTGGCCAGCACCCCAAGCCAGGAAAGCAGACACCAGCCAGGAGCAGGTGGCTCGCTCAGGAGTGGGCTAGGTCCTGTCCCTCAGTGCAGGATAGTGGATGGCTCAGGAGGGGCATAGGCCCAGGAGCCGAGGGGGTAGGGCACCCACCTGCACCAGGCTGCCCTTCTGGCCCTTGTTCTTCAGCATCGTACTGTTCCGCCACCGCAGGTACTTTTCCTGGTGGGCATGGATCTCAGAAGTGAGAGTGGAATTTCGACTTCGAAAGTCTTCAAGATTGGGAGCAAGCTGAGGTGGCATGGCCAGCAGCTTCTTGTCTGTGAGCTCTTCTTGTGAAATGGGCATCCCAAACTCTTGGCTCAGGTCTCGGATCATGGCAGAGGTAGGCAGCAGGTCTCTCACGATCACCTCCCTGAGCCTGGTGCTGTCATAGCAGAGGTCATGGATCCTGGAATGAGGCAGGGCCATGGACAAAGCCTCACCACCTTGCAAGGAGGGAATAACCACCCCCACTTTGCAGCAGAAAGTGGGAATTTGGAGACTGAGCAGCCGATCCCAGGTCAGAGAGCGCAAAGTAAAGAGCAGATTGCGGTCATGTGGGCCTGAACTCAGGCTTTCTTCCCACTCTGCCTCTCAGGCCTCCACTTTCTGCTCTGAGCACTTTCCTGCTCTTGTGGCCTCATCCACACCTCTCATGGGCCCACACCCGGCCATGGAGCAGCCCCAATAAGCTGGCCACCGCGGTGTGATCTCCAGTCCCAGGAGGGCCGTGTGCACACAGCCTTGTATCTTAGCAAAGCCGGAGGACTGAGCGCCCCAATAAGCTGGCCACCGCGGTGTGATCTCCAGTCCCAGGAGGGCCGTGTGCACACAGCCCCGTCCCCACCCCGACCCTGAGGACTGAGCGCCGTCCCCACCCCGACCCTGAGGACTGAGCGTTGTCCCCACCCCGACCCTGAGGACCGCCCTGGCATGCAGTGGGTGCTGTGTTCACACGGTGCAATTCAGAATGAGTGCTGGCGCTGGCGCTGGCTCTTGCCTCCTCAGCCCGGTGCAGGGTAGAGGTCCAGGGAGGGTGGACTCTGCCTCACACTAGCTAGGTGACCCCAGCCTACCACCAGGCTTTCTGGACTTCTGTTTCCCTGCCTTCGGCACAATGTATGCAGCAAGCACCTGACCAGTAGCAGGGTTTTTTGTCCCCCATCACCTATTAGGCAGGGCATAGCCCAGCCTCCCCTGGTTGACTGGGGTCTCCCCACATGCCCCTCCCTGACTTGGGCTTTGTGCCCCTCTGCCCTGGGATTACCCAAGTTGTGGTTACCCATCCCTGGGGCAGAGCTGGGGATAAAGGGAGGGACTGAGAGTGAAGCCTCTCCCCTACTCCTTGCCTCCTTTATCACAGTCGCCTGTGGTCCCCCTCTGGGTGAGGTCCACTTCTGTAAAAACCCAAAGGCTACACTTGTGCCCACACCCAGCCTGCGAAGGTCTGGGCTGCTCTTTGAAATCCAGAAAGAAGCAACCACTGCCCTGTGGCCACCCTGAGATACGTACTGAGGAGCAAAGAGCCCCCACGAAAGCAGAGCCTGCCGGGCTCTCCCTGGAGCCACAGCTGCTGTCTGGAGACTAGGGCATACAGGCCAGGCCAGAGTGCTAGGTCTGCCAGCGCATGCCCTGCAAACTGGCCATGCAGGCAGCGTGTGGGGAGAGACAGGGCCTGACCCTCCCCTTCCTTGTCAGCCTGTTCCAGGATCTGACCCAAGAGCAGGGGACAGAGCAGAGTCCCATGGTGGCCTCTGGTGGCACGTGGGAGATGCACAGCTCTCCCCCCTGTGCCCTCACCTGGCCAGTGCCTGGAAGGCCCCACGCTGCCCAGAGAGGCGCACGTAGAGTGCAGCCCGGCGTGCCAGGTGGGCCACTGGCTGGAACAGGTGCACGTGGTACAGAATGGGTTCCAGGTCCGCGTACAGGCGGTGCTGGAACAGCAGCTGTGAGTTGTAGAGCACCTTGTACATGCCATGTGTGGACCTGGGGATCCTGCAAGAGAAGGCCACAGCCAGTGTGTTAGTGTATGAAGGGGCTTGGGACGCTCGGTCATCTAGCTCTGTCAGTCAGAGCTTCTACAGCAGTTCTCACTAGTTTTGCAAAATCCAGCACCACCAGGGGAATACTCTGACAGTGAGTGCTGGCTGGTAGGCAAAGCCATTCAAACCTGGGGGTCTCGAAGGGTCTGGCTTATCTCCACCTGGGAGCCTCCACTCACACTGGCGGTCTCCAGCCACGGGGTTTCCAGCCATGCCCTCCTGTCATCGCCCTGTGTTGGGGCTTGCTTGGCCTTCACCTCATGGACCTAGTGGGCTCCACCCTTTGAACTCTGCTCAGTTTTCTGTGTTGGTAACTGCAGCTCCTTCTCAAGACTGTTCAAGACTTTTGTCCATACTTCTGTTGGGATGTTTTTATTGTTTCCTTATTGATTCCTGTGACTTTTTATGTATTCAGGATACTTTTTTTTTCAGTTTTTTTTTTTAAAGTGAGATTTTTGCTATAGGGCATGTGCATTCACCAGAGAGACAGAGAGAGACAGAGAGGCAAAGAGTGAGAAATCACCCCTCCAGAAGGGATGGCCACACCACAATCCCTTCTCCATTCTTCTCCTGGGATTTTGGGCCACCATGTGCACGCACCCAGCGTGAGTTTTAAGCCACCGGGTCAGGGACTCAAACCGTGTGAGAGTCCAGTGATGTAACCATTATGCCATCTACTGGACCCATTTTTTTTCCTTCAGTTTTATACATTGCAAAGTTTATTTTCCTGTTTATGGCTTGTCTTTCCACACTATGGCGTCTTTTTTTTTTTTTTTTTTTGAGAGAGAATTTTTTGCTATAGGGCACATGTGCTTGTCAGAAAGACAGAGACAGAAAGCAAGAAATCATCCCTGGGGGGATGGCCACCCCGCAATCCCTTCTCCTCCATTCTCCTCATGTGCCTGGCATGATTTTTAGCCACTGAATCTGGGACTCAAACTATGCTCGACTGCATGGGAGTCCAGCGACATAGCCATTACACCAACTGCTGGTACCAATAATAATTTTTTAAAAATTGAAAATAAAAAAAAATGGTAAGTGCTGGCAGAAATGTGGAGAAAGCAGTACTTTCTTACATTGTTGGTGGGAATGTAAATTAGTCAGCTGCTGTGGAGAACAATATCAAAGTTCCTCAAAGACCTTCAAATAGAACTACCATATGATCCAGCAACTCTACTCCTGAGTATCTATCCAAAGGACAGGAGAATGCTCAGTTTGAAAAGCCCTTGAACAGCTATATTTATTGTGACATTATTCGTGATTGTAAGACATGGAACTTACCCAAATGTCCACAAACAGATAAATAGATTATAAAACTGTGGCACATATACTCCACACCAGACAGAGAGAGAATTTTTTGCTATAGGGCGAGTGTACTCACCAGAAAGAAAGAGAGAGACAGAGACAGAAAGCGAGAAATGACCCCCAGGGGGGATGGCCATGCCACAATCCCTTCCCCTACACCCTCCTCTCGGGATCTTGGGCACGCACACACACGCGCCGAGCATGAGTTTAAGTCACCGGGTCCAGGACTCAAACCATGGTCCACCATATGAGAGTTCAACGACATAGCCATTACGCTAACGGCTGGTCCCCCACTGCTATTGCATCTTTTGATGAATGCAAGGTAATAATTTTAATGTAGCCAGTGTAAAACCAATTTCCTTTATTCTTAATACTTTGTTTTGTTCAAGAATGTTTCTTCATTCTGAGGTCATGGTTGTGTTTTCCTACATCATCTAGAAGCTTTACAATGTTGCTTCTTAAAACCAGGTGCTGAGAGGGACCTGCTGATGTAACTAGCATCACTTGTGGTGGAAAGGAGGGACATGTCCTTCCGAAGAGCAGACACAGCAGGAAGTCTGCCATTACTCCTAAGACAGTGTGCAAGTCCTGGCAGCACAACCACGACACAGGCATCCGAGTGGAGAGGAAGAAATCTAACTTCCCCTATTTGCAGATGACATGATAGTCTACATAGAAAATCCCAAGGAGTAAACCAAACCAAAGCAAACAAAAGTAACTCAAACTAAAATATGCTCAGGATTTGTATGCCAACCTTTACAAAATGCTGACTGAACAACAAAATGAAGAAACATACCACATTCATGGACTGGGAGACTCCAGAAAGCAAAGACGTCAGTCTCCCTGGAGGGTGCTAGGCCTAGCACAGCTCCTGTCAACAGCCTGGCAACATTGTTGGTACAGAGAGGTATTTAAAATTTATCTGAAAAGGCAAAGGAACTAGCTTGCTAAAACTTCCTGTCATGCACAGTGTTGCTATGATCATGCATGTACAGCTTTTTATGTGGACATGGTTCAGTTCCTCTATGCACACACCTGGTCATAGGCTGGCTTCTCCTGGTGCTTCCTGGCCCACCACATATCGGGACCAGCCGCCAAAGTACTGTGTCCTCTCCTGGGTAGACAGACCCACCTTCTGGACTCCCTGTGACCAGCTTGGGGGTTCTGGTTCTGGACTCCCTGTGATCAGCTTGGGGGTTCTGGTTCTGGACTCCCTGTGACCAGCTTGGGGGTTCTGGTTCTGGACTCCCTGTGATCAGCTTGGGGTTCTGGTTCCGGACTCCCTGTGACCAGCTTGGGGGTTCTGGGGCTTACAGACCCTGAGGACAGATGTGGGGACCAGACCCCTTTAGTGTTTATACAAATTAGGGTCCTTGCAAGTTGTGAAAGGAAAAGAGAACTACTGTGTCACCAAGACCAAAGAACAGAAGGACATGCGAGACTGCCTGCTCCAGCCCCGAACTGCCCCTGCCCTGTACCCACTAGTGACCACCCAGGTGACCCTGAATGCTCTCAGACAGGGCAACTTCTACAGCCCAGCAGCCCCTCCAGCTTCGAAATAACCAGATGCACCCTCCTTGGGGCTGAGCTGAAGGTTCGTGCAGAACATTCTGCTCTCGGTTAGCTGGCTTAGTCGTTGGCTCAGACGCCTAAAAGCAGGACCATTTTCTGAACCACCTTGTATCCTATATACCCCAAATTCCTCAACAGCAGCAGCCCAGTCTTCCTGGTCTCGAGCCCAGTTACCAAGTCCTGACAAGGACCTCATGATGAGCCCCGAGAGAAGACAAGGACCCTTAGCTGGGCTCCTCCTGCCCAGCACTGGACACAGCACTTTCCCAAAACATCACCACTCACCGGTTCTGGTGACGCTCCCACAGCCGCTGCAAGCCCTTGCCAGCCAGGCCCTCCAGGACAAACAGGTGGAGCCTCCCATCCAGCAGGTGAAAGCCGGTGAGCACATCCAGGTGCTGCTGCTCCTGGACCTTCACCCGCATCTTGAAGGCCGACAGGATCTGCTGGACGTCCTCGATGGGGTAGGAGTCCAGGTCAAGGGCCCTGGCATTGACCATGGTGATGTCGTGCAGCAAACTGTGCAGGAGGAAAAGCTTCTTGGAGTCGAACACAAAAACGATGCGGCCGAACTGGGACCTCAGGAGGTCAGGGTCAGGGGTTCTGACTCCAGGCCTCAGGGGCACAGCGATGTCCACTCGCAGCTTGAGCATGGAGTTGGCCTCCAGGTAGTGGCCCATGGGCATGGGGCCATGCTGAAGGCCATCAGGGGGGGCACGAAACCCCACAACTTTCCTGCTCCTGCTGTCCTGGCCATGGCCTGTGGGCCTGGGCTCACAGCTGTGGATGGGGACAGTCAGGTTTAAGTACTTGTAGCCAAGAAGGAGGTCAGCTAAACTGACCTGGGCAACACCATGAGGGTCCCACATCTTGTCCTGGGACTCAAAAGGGTTTGTCTCTGTCTCTTTTGGAGAGATGAGGGCCTGGAGATTGAGAAATGAATCCAGAGGATCCTCCCCAAACAGGGTGGGCTTCCGAGAATAATCCTCCGACTTGCGGTCCCGGTCATGAACTTCTACCTCCATAGGGGGGCCCTCCAGGTATTGCTGCAGTTCACTGGGGTGCATCGCCCCAAGGAAGATGACATTGATGTCCTGGAAATGCACGTGGGCCCCATGGGGCTGACCTTCGGTCTGGTGAACAGGAGTCGTGTGAAACTGGTACCTGCAGTACACAGGCATGCACAGCCTCTAGAGAGAGCAGAGCCACAGGGTGTCACCTGCTGCAAAGGGAGGTTCCAGCAGGGGGTACTCAAATTACATGCCTGGTACCCACCACCTGGGACCAGGGCTTCCCCATCTATGGGTTACCTACAACAGCCTCTGCTCTATAAGGTTACTCCCAGGGCTGCATGACATTCATGAGGTGACTTCAAAGTTCGCAGGAAAAGGAATTAAAGCACAAATATATTTTGGTGCATAAAAACCTGACTGACAGTGGTGCAGCCTTAAAACACAAGGCTTTGCAAGATTGACCCACCCCAGAAGATTCCAGATTGAGCACAGGACCTCCCCCAAACATTTCAGGCACTGCGTGCCCACAGCACAGGGGCTGTGGCTGGGGCAGTGAGGGTGTTAGGGCCCTGCTGGGGTGTTGTCTGTCCTTGCTCACATAAGAAATAACTAAACTTTTTTTGTTTTTTGTTTTTTGTTTTGGAGAGGTTTTTGTTATAGGGTGCGTGCGCTTGCCAGAAAGACAGAAAGAGACAGAGAGACAAAAAGTGAGAAATCACCCCCAGGGGGGATGGCCACGCCACAATCCCTTCTCCTCCATTCTCCTCCCAGGACCCTGGGCATGCGAGCATGCACGCCCAGCATGAGTTTAAGCCACCAGGTCCAGGACTCAAACCACGGTCAACTATATGGGAGTCCAGAAACATAGCCATTACACCAACTGCTGGTCCCATAACCAAACTTTTTAAAAAAGTTTTGAACTCTGAACATCCTTTCATAATGTGTGCTTTCCATGAACTTTTCAAAGCCCCGTGTGTGGCAGCATGATGATGGTGGCTGCCGCAGACAGGCTCACAGCATGGGCCATTTCCCTCCTAGATCATGAGTGCCACAAGGCAGGCCGTGTGCCTTTCCCCACATGTATTGCTAGTTCCTACTCCAAGGGGACAGAAAAGGAGGAAATACTCAGCTTTTAGGAAAGGCAACACTTGGGACCAGCAAATGGCATAATGGCTACATCGCTGGACTCCCATGCACATGTATGAGCCCAAAATCCAGAAAGGAGGAAGAGATGCAAGAGAAAAGATTGCAGTGTGGCAAAAAGATTCTAAGCTTTGAGAGGAGTAAACAACAGGTCACATATAAAAGTTCAGCACAGAATGTAAAAAGACAATGGAATAACGCCTTCGAAACTCTGAAAGATAAATTAACTATATAGAAAATAAATGAAACCAAAATTTGGTTCTTTGAAAAGATAAACAAAATTGATACACCAATAGCTAGACTAATTAAGAAGAGAGAAAGGAACCAGATAAATCAAAATCGCAATGAAGCAGGTAATAATAACAACAGACATCAAAAAAATACAAAACATCATTAGAGGATACTATGAGCGACTATATATCAACAAATGAGAAAACCTGGGTGAGATGGACAAATTCCTGAACACGTACATTCTGTCGGGATTGGGTCATGAAGAAGTAGAAAGCCTGAGTAGACCCTTAACAAGCAGCGAGGTTGACTCAGTAATAACTTCCCAACAAAGAAAAGTCCAGGCCCTGAGGTTGACTCAGTAATAACTTCCCAACAAAGAAAAGTCCAGGCCCTGATGGCTTCACTTTTGAATTCTACAAAACTTTTAAAGAAGAGTTTAACACTCATTCTACTCAAACTATTTCTAAAGATCCAGAAAGAAGGAACCCTCCCAAATTCATTCTATGAATCCTCCATTACCCTCATTGCCCAAACAGATAAGGACATGACAAAAAAGGAAAACTACAGACTGCTCTCTGATGAATATAGATGCAAACCTTCTCAACAGGATACTTGCAAATCGTATCCAACAACTATAAAAAAGATTATACATTGGGGACCAGCAGATGGCATAAAGGCTATGTCGCTGGACTCCCATGTAGTCTACTGCGGTTCAAGTCCCGGACCTGGTGGCTTAAACTCATGCTGGGCATGTGTGTGTGCGTGCTCAAGATCCCGAGAGGAGAATGGAAAAGGGATTGCAGCGAGGCCATCCCCCCTGGGGGGTGATTTCTCACTTTCTGTCTCTTTGTTTCTCTCTGTCTTTCTGGTGAGTGCATATGCCCTATAGCAAAAACCTTTCCCAAAAAAAACATTATACACATCAAGACCAGGTAGGCTTTATTTCAGGAATACAAGAGTGGTTCAACATATGCAAAACTGGAGACCAGCATATGGTGTAATGGTTACATCGCTGGACTTACACATAATTGACTGCAGTTCAAGTCCCACACCTGGCAGCTTAAAACTCACACCAGGCATATGTGCGTACATGCCCAAAATCTCCAGAGGAATATGGAGAAGAAGAGGTTGTGGCGTGACCATATACCCCACCAAGGGGGTGATTTATTGCTTTCTATCTTTGTTTCTCTCTGTTTCTCTGACAAGCACAAGTGTCCTATAGCAAAAATCTCTCTCAAAAAAAAAAAAAAAGCAAAACCTGGAACCAGCAGTTGGCATAATGGCTATGTCACTGGACTCCCATGTAGTCGACTGCAGTTCGAGCCCTAGACCCAGTGGCTTAAACTCACACCGGGGGCATGTGCGTGCATGCCCAAGATCAAGAGGAGAATGGAGGAGAAGGGATTGCAGCGTGACCATCTGCCCTGGGGGGTGATTTCTTGCTTTCTGTCTCTCTGTCTCCATTTTTCTGGCAAGCACGTACACCCTACACCAAAAACCTCTAAAAAAAAATAATAATAATGCAAAACCATAAACGTGATACACCATATTAACAGACAGAAAGATAAAAACCATATGATCATGGGACCAGCAGTTGGCGTAATGGCTATGTCGCTGAACTTCCATGTAGTCAACCGCAGTTTGAGTCTCGGACCCGGTGGCTTAAGCTCATGCCGGGCACGTGTGTGTGCCCAAGATCCCAAGAGGAGAATGGAGGAGAAGGGATTGAGGCATGGTCATCCCCCTGTGGGGTGACTTCTAGCTTCCTGTCTGTTTCTGTCTTTCTGGCGAGTGCACATGCCCTATAGCAAAAACCTCTCCAATAAATAAATAAATACCTAAAAAAAAATATGATGATATCAGTCAATGAAGAAAAAGCATTTGATAAAATACAACACCACTTCATGATTAATACTCTCAGAAAAATTGGCATACAAGGGACATTTCTCAACACCATAAAAGCCATCTATGAAAAACCTATAACTGGGAACCAGCAGTTAGCATAATGGCTATGTCACTGGACTCCCACGTAGTCGACCGCAGTTCGAGTCCCGGACCCGGTGGCTTAAAACCCACACCGGGCGTGTGTGCGTGCGTGCCCAAGATCCCAAGAGGAGAATGGAAGAGAAGGGATTGCAGCGTGGTCATCCCCCCTGGGGGGTGATTTCTCACTTTTTGTCTCTATGTCTCTCTCTGTCTGGTGAGCGCAAAACAAACAAACAAACAAACAAACAAACAAACCATAACTAACATCATAATGAATGGGGAAAGGCTGAAAGCTTTTCCACTAAAAATTGGTACAAGACAAGGCTTCCACTTCCTCCAATATAGTGCTGGAAGTCCTAGTTAATGCCATCAGAAAAGAGAATAAAATAAAAGGCTTCGATTAGGGGAAGAAGAGTTGAAATTATTTTGCAGATGACATGACTGTATACATAGAAGATACAAAATCAACATACAAAAACCTATAGCATTTCTACATATAGACAACAAACAGACTGAGGTAGAACTGCAGAAAAGTAATCCCATTTACCAACCACAAAAAGTATAAGATACCTAGGAACAATTAACCAAAGAAGTCAAAGACTTCTACAAGGAAAACTATGAAAATAATAAATACATTTTTTTAGTAATTGGAAATGACACAAAAAAAGTAGAAGGACATACCATGTTCCTGGATTGGAAAAATTAATAATAAAAATGGCAATTCTAACCAAATTTATCTATATATTTAACATAATACCAGTCAAATTACCAGAGAAATTCTTTACAAATTTAGAAAAAACAATCATAGAATTTGTCTGGAATCATAAAAGACCCACTGTTGCCAAAGCATTCCTGTGCAAGAAGAGTGGAGTAGGAGGCATCTCACTCCCTGATTCCAAAATATATCACAAAGCTGTGACAATAAAAACAGCACAGTATTGGCACAAAAACAGACATGTGGACCAATGGAACAGAATAGAGACCCCAGAAATAAACTCCCAAAAATATGGACAACTGATTTTTTTTTTCTTTTTGGAGAAGTTTTTGCTACAGGGCACATGCGCTCGCCAGAGACAGAGAGACAGAAAGCGAGAAATCACCCCCCAGGGGGGATGGCCACGACGCAATCCCTTCTCCTCCATTCTCCTCTTGGGATCTTGGGCACATATGCACACGCACCTGGCGTGAGTTTAAGACACCGGGTCCGGGACTCGAACTGCGGTCAGCTACGTGGGAGTCCAGAGATATAGCCATTATGCTAACTGCTGGTTCCAATAACTGATTTTTTACAAATGGCACCAGTCAATCCAGTGGGAAAAATATAATCTCTTTAGCAAATAGTGGTGGAAAAATTGGTTATCCACCTGCAGAAAGATGGATGTGGACCCCTACCTATCACCATTGATAAAAATCCACTCAAAGTGCATCAAAGATCTAAACCTAAGACCTCAAACTGTAAAACAACTGGTGGAAAACACTGAGGAACCTCTGGGAGACATCAGAGTAGACAAAGACTTCTTAAATAAGACCCCCAAAACACAGGCAATAATCCCAAAAATAGACAAGTAGGATTATATCAGATTAAGAAGTTTCTACACAGCAAAAGACATATTAATTCATGTGATCAACAACCCTTGGAGTGGGAGAATATTTTTGTAAACTATGCCTCATATAAGGGACTGATAACCAGAATACACAAAGAACTCAAGCAGCTTACCCACCCCCCCAAAAAAAATCAACCCAATTAAAAGATGGGAAAATGAGCTGAAAAACAACTTTCTAAGGCAGACATATGAACATCCAAAAGGCATATGAAAAAAATGCTCAACATGCATCATAAGGGTTATGCAGATCAGAACCACAATGAGGGGAACCAGCAGTTAGCGTAATGGCTATGTCGCTGGACTCCCATGTAGTCGACCGCTGTTGGCGTCCCGGACCTGGTGGCTTAGAGCTCACGTCGGGCACGTGTGCGTGAGTGCCCAAGATCCCGAGAGGAGAATGGAGGAGAAGGGATTGCGGCGTGACCATCCCCCCTGGGGGGTGATTTCTCGCTTTCTGTCTCTATGTCTCTCTCTGTCTGTCTGGCAAGCGCATGCGCCCTATAGCGAAAACCACTCCAAAAAGAAAAAAAAAGAAAAGAAAATCACAATAAGATACCACCTAACCCCAGTCAGAATGGCTAAGTTAGAAAAACAAAAGGTAAGTGCTGGTGGGGATGTGGTGAAAGGGGAACTCTCCTACATTGCTGATAGGAATGGAAATTGGTCCAACCACTGTGGAGAACTGATATGGAGGCTACTCACAGATCTACAAACATAATAACCATATGCATAGGAAAGAAAATTTGGGGGAAAAAATAGAGAGGTGAGACATTTGTGGGACACAGATATGGTTTATATCAGTTGATGAGGATGTATATTGTATTCTCAACTGGGCTGGACTGAGGTGTATATCATGCTGGATAAAGTCTCTTTACAATCTAAATGATGTATAGCGATGGAATGTATAAATAATAAGTAAAAGAAAACAGGTGGTACAGAATAGCAAAAATAAATAAATAAATAATTACCATATGATCCAGCAATTCCACTCCTGGGTATCTACCCAAAGGACAGGAAAACACTCAGTCGTAAAAGTGCTTGCACATCTATGTTTATTGTGGTATTATTCACAATTGCTAAGACATGGAATCAACCCAAATAACCATGAATGGATTGAAAAACGGTGGCACATTTACTCTATGGAATACTATTAAGCCATAAAAAAAAAGATCCTGGCATTGATAGAAAGTGGATGAATATGGAAGATTTACTGCTGAGTGAAGTGAGCCAGGCTATGAGAGAGAGACATTGTATGTTTCCACTTAACATATACCAACTGTCTGCACTCGACAGAGACTGAAAGATTGTAGGATATAGAAGCATGGAGAATGGTTATAGATGCTGGAGACAGTATGGGAAGAGGATGAGAGATGGGGAGAGTGAGAGGAAAGGAATTAAGGAGAAAAATAGAGAGGGAAGACGAGGACTACCTATTAATGATAATGTGTATGATATCTTCAACTGGACTGGTGTGAAGTATATTCATATTGGGTAATTCATTTTACATGCTGTAGTGATGTACAATGATTGGATGTATAAAAATAATAATAATAATAAATAAAGCTCTGAAGGAAAATGATTCCTAATCTAGAATTCTATATTCAAACTATCAGTCAAGTATGAGGGCAGAATAAAAAATATTTTCAGACAAACGTTATTACCAAAAAAGCAAATCTCCCATTGACTGTTTCTCAGAAGGCTACTAGAGGTTGTGCCTCAGCGGAATCAGGGCAGACCAGAGAGGAAGACGTAGAAGCCAGGGTCCAACCAGGAGAGGAGAGGGAGCACTCCTGAGGTAAGCAGCCAAGCCCTCACTGGGCACTGCTGCCATGACAGGGACGCCTGGGGGCCCTGCCAGGAGGCCAGCCACCTCCACTTGGAGACACCTGTAGTACTGTGAGAGATGGCAGACATCGTCGCTCATAGTCCCAGGGACCTGATCTCTCCTCTGTGTCACTGTGGGATCCTCAATGGCAAAATGGGAGGGCCACTGGGAGGCTGAAGGCGACCTGTAATGGCACTGAGTGGGCAGGGGAGGGGCTCCGTCAGTTGTCCTTACCTCTAGCTCGTGAATAGGCACCGGCTGTGATGGAAGGCAGGAAGCACACTTGATCTTTATGGTCAGAGGGTTTAAGTCCTGTTTTTGCTCCTCGGTCATTATAGGAACTTCCGTTTTTAAAGTTAAAAGACAGTCTAAAATGTTGGCAGACTTGGCCCCGCCACGACTAACAGCAATCTGCAATCCTGGGGAAACACATGCAGCGTCAGTCAGACCCTGGGCTGGTGGCTGCTCTTGACAAGCCCAAGGAACACTCAACCTGCAACTTGCGCATAGCCCATAATGAGTCACAGGACAAACAGAAAATTTAAAGAAAAAGAACTGGGAAATGCCTAAGGGCAGCATGTTAGATGCCAGTTTTTCAAAAGTTCTATAAATACTCTCTAAGCAAAGTGAAAATTCAGGATTTAATCTAGATGAACATGGTTTTTTTGGTTTGTTTTTATGTTTGGTTGGTTTTTTTCTTTTTTGAGAGGTTTTTCACTATAGGGCGCGTGCGCTCGCCAGATAGAGAGAGACAGAGAGAAAGAAAGTGAGAAATCACCCCCCAGAGGGGATGGCCACGCCACAATCCCTTCTCCTCCATTCTCCTCTCGGGATCTTGGGCACGCACGCACACTCGCCCGGCGTGGGTTTTAAGCCACCGGGTCCGGGACGCGAACCATGGTCGACTACGTGGGAGTCCAGCGACATAGCCATTACGAACCATGGTCGACTACGTGGGAGTCCAGCAACTTAGCCATTACCCCAACTGCTGGTTCCCATGAACATGTTTTTTTTTTTTAATATTTTTTGTAATTTTTTTTAAAGAGGTTTTTGCTATAGGGCGTGTGCGCTCGCAAGAAAGACAGAGAGACAAGAGAGAAAGGAAGTGAGAAATCACCCCCCAGGGGGTATGGCCATGCTGCAATCCATTCTCCTCCATTCTCCTCTTGAGATCTTGGGCACACACGCACAGGCGCCTGGCGTGAGTTTAAGCCACCGGGTCTGGGATGTGAACCACGACCGACCACATGGGAGTCCAGCGACATAGCCATTACGCCAACTGCTGGTCCCTAGATAAGCATGTTTTAAGAAGTCATGTGAACAATTACAGAGCATCTAAGAGAAAACAGGAATACCAAAGCATGGGTGCCACCCCCAGTCTGAATTCACTGGTGGCCTCCACACTGGGAGGTCAAAGCTCCCCGAGATGGTGCTAGAACGTCGGCTCTAGGCCTGTGCTGACCAGGGCAGTAGCTACTGTTCACATGTGAACTTGCATTTAAGTTCATTAGAATTAAATAAAACCTAACATGTATTTCCTCCCCTGTACTGGCAGCCCACAGTCAGGTGGTTACAGAGTTACACACTCTGGCCCCAACCACAGAGAGCCCCATCCTGCAGACAGCACTACTGAACATGCAGTGGTTTGGGGCAGGACACCATCAAGAACAGGTAACATCAGTGCGTGCACTGGTGCCGTTGTTTCGCTTTAACCCTCGTGGTCCAGTGTCAGGTGCAGGATGAAGCTCCCACATGCGAGCCCCATGAGAACATGATGCCCTCTGGCTAGGGCGGTTCAGGCACAGTGTGATGGGACAGAGAGAGCGTCACTGCCAGGAACATAGGTCACCGAGAAAATGTTGTTCCTAGAGGGGGACTGGGATGCTGTGGTGTATGCTGCTAAGACGCTGCTCTATGGCCACTGGGACCACACAGGAGGTCTGCCGGTCCCCTCCGACCTAAGGCTGGCAGCGCCGTGTGTTTGTCATATCAGCAGCCTGAGGAAGCCAAGGCAGAGGGGTCGCGCTCAGGCCGGCCGGGGTGAGCCAGCCATGGCGGCAGTGCCTGTAGTCTCGACTAGGAGGTGATGCAGGGGAACGAAGACATGGCGAGGCCCTGTCTGTGAAAGGGTAGGGCACGTGTTCTACCAGTCGGAGACATACCAAGGTAGAAAACGAAATAAGCAAATAGGTAAAAGCTCAAGTTTTGGAGGTAGGATGGATTCATGTCCCAGAACTGACAATCATGTGATAAATTATAGCCTCTTTGGGGCTAAATCCTGTTGCCCACAAAATGGGGACACATAATAAGGTGACGAGAGCCACCAGGAGGGGGCTGGCTACCAGCGAGGAGTGGCAGGATGGCCAGCTGGGCGGAGAAGGTGCTCTGCTTCCACTGGCTCGCCAGCTGGTGGTCAGTTTCCTCTTCTGTTCGAGATTTTGTTTTTTTCTTCTGGCTTTTCTTTTTTCCCTCTGAATCTCTCCCTTTAACTGTGAAATCAGGAAAAGGAAATGTTAAGATATAAATGTTAAGATATTTAAGATATAAATGTTAAAAAGAGATGGTATCTGAGCTGCATGTGTAACTGAATATATGTACAGAGATTCTAGAAGGTTCTGGAAGATCCTAGAAAGCAGAGCTTATTCTTTGTACTGTGGCCTCTTCCCAGCAACCAGGGAGGTGGCTAGATGCAGGTGGCGAGCCAGTGTTCCTGGTGCACAGGGGACAGCGACATTCTCCACCAGGAGCCTGGTGAGGAGGGTCAAGGGTGTCACCACAAGCCCACACATCCCCCAAGTTCTCCTCCAAGACTGTTTGCAGCCACAGAACAGGGTGGGCTTGGGCTTGGGACATGACCACTACAGCCCAGAACCACCTCTTCCTCTCCTACAGGGGAGCCGTCTGAGACTCCTTGACTTCACCTGCTGATGGGGACAGGAACACTGCCTTCTGGGCAGTAGGAAGCTCAGAGCAAGAAGATGACAACACGCGACTCTGTGACCTGAGGCTGTGAGCTATCAGTGCAGTGGGATAAGATCAATGGACTAATCGGAGAAGGCCAGAGACCGCTCCTGCCCCAGGACTGCACGGCCAGAGAAGGCACCCACGTATGTGGGACGGGAGGGCAGGGAGGTACGTGGCTCTGTGTGTCGTGGGAACAAATGAGCTGCAAAGCGAATCCCATGCTAAAGATAGAAAACAACTTCAAAACCACCAGCAGGTCAGCAGAGGAGACTGCTGGGACACCTAGGTGAGGGAGGCATTCCTAAACATGACCAGAAATCCAAGCTGGGAAAAAGCTGTTAGAGAACTGGCAGACAGAACAGGACCTGGAGTTAAAGGAAGGACGAGGCCCAGGCCCAGCCGGGAGGAGGGCTGCAATGCACAGAACTGACAGTGTGTTCCTGCCAGACACACAGACAGAGCCTGCAGATCAGAGAGCACATTCTCGATCCACAGAGAACGGAGCCATGAGGGGCCAGGCGGCGGTGCAACAGGACACACAGACAGGGCCTGCAGATCAGAGGGCACATTCTCCACCCACAGAGAATGGAGCTGCGAGGGGCCAGGTGGCGGTGCAGCTCCATTCTTTATAATGCCAGAGGGCACGTGTGCATGAGGGAGCTTCCAAGTCTAGTTATATTCCAAATCCCACCCTAACTCACTCTGAGACTTCTGTCTCTCTAGCACATTCGTTAGGCTGCTAAATGATGACCTCTCAATTAATTCTTTGATCTCCATCATGGTTGCCCCTGCCAAAGAAACAGGGGGTGCTCTTGAAATACTTCGCCTAGAAAAATTCAGAGACAAATCAATGAAGCGTAAAAAAACCACCAGCCGGATACGAATATGTAGTTGAGAACAGGTTTAGAAAATAACCCTGCATTCCTTTAACCCCTTTCCCGAGTTTCAATGTGTGGGAATCTTCTGTGACCTTAGCAAATACAGTACAGGTTAGGGTTTAATAGCTGCAGACCTAGAGTCTGTGTTTCCACCAAGCTCCCCAGGAACACTGACACAGCTGGTCTGCAGACCATGCCTGAACCCTGGATATTCTAACATCACAGAAACTATCATGGAAAATAATGTATTCTTATCAAAGCAATCAAAGCTACAAAACATCTAAGAATTCACTTATAGGAATTATCACTACACCTACAGGGAGAAAAAATAAACTCCATTACACAATATAAAAGAGAGTCTGAATTAAATACAAAGACATACCATAATTATGGGTGAGGTAACCTAACAACATAAGCATGTCAGGTCTTCCCAAATTAATCCATGAACTCAACACAAGAACACTTTTTTCCTTTTTTAGGTCTTTTACCATAGGACACAGTTGCTCACCGGAGAAAGACAGAAAGAAGGAAAGTGAGAAATCAGCCCCCTCAAAGCAGGTGGCCGCACCAAATCCTTTTGCTTCCATTCTCCTCTTGGGAATTTGGGCATTCACACACATGCACATGTGTGATTTTCAAGCCGCTGGGTTTAGGAATTGAATTGTGGTTAGCCGTCTGGAACCTTAACCATCATAACACCTGCTGGCCCCATGCAAGAACAATTTTTTAATAATCAAGATTGCTTGGGACCAGCAGATGGCATGATGGTTACATCTTTGGACTCCCACATGGCCAACTGCAGTTGAGTCCTAGATCCGGAGGCCTGAAACACACCAGGCATGTGTGTGTGTGTGTGTACATGCCCAAAATCCTGAGAGGAGAATGGATTGTGGTGTGGTCCCTCCCCTGGGGGGGGGGTGATTTCTCACTTTCTGTCTCTCTGTCTCTCTATCTCTCTGGTGAGAGCTCACACTCTATAGCAAAAATCTCCCTTAAAAAAATTGAGATGTTTAATGGCTCACCTCTTGCTTCTTGCCACCCCATCTTCCCCAAGCCACTAGCTGGGCTTCCATTCTCCCCGGGTCCTCACAGCATTCAAGGGCCCTCCCTCTGAGTCCCTTCTAGGCGGCTAGTGGTTCCAAGCACAGCTGTATTCACAGAAGGAAAGGGCTGTGGACTAAGGAGCCTGAGGGTGTGTGCTGGAATCCTTGCTTAACCAAGAGTCCTGGCTTTATGATTTTATGTGAATCACTTAACCACTTAGTTGACTTAGAAAATGGAGACAGTATTGCTACCTCATCAAGTGATCGCTGTGACCAATCAGATATAACACGTCTGACAAAAGCAGAGAGCCTGGCATACAGCTGTGCCCTGAGGACAGGCTTGCCTTTCACCTCATCAGGATCCCATGAGTTCCCACTTACCGAGAATTACTAGAAGATCTGCATGAGTCCTGAGACACCCGGTATAAGAGGGACAACACTCCCACCCCTAATAACACGGGTCCACCCTTACCGAACTGTGGAAAGGTCATCCATTTTAAGTGACTTTTCATATTCCTCGCTGTTCTTGGAAGACGTTTCAGGCTCTGCTTGGTGAGAAACTGAAAATATTAGCAAATAATTCCACAGTTCTTGTTTCATGCTATTTTCCTAAGAAGCTAGGGTCCCTCACATGTCTATAATGCCAGTTTCAGGCAGAAGGCCGGGTGTGGTAAGCCTTCAGTAAAAGCGGTCAGTTGGCCATAAACAGAGAAATGAGTGGATGGAAGAATAGACCGATTTTGATAACTTGGACAGACAGAGGTAAGAGGGGACCTCCAATTCCTTACATGATACTCCACAGTGGAGAAAAATTAAGAAAGTCTGTTATCTATTACCTCATCCACTTTAGTACTGTTTACATTAGAGAACACAGAAAACACTCCTGAGATTTCCCTGACTACAGAGCGTAATTAAATAAGTCACAGTCCTACCAGCAGATAAAGTATGTAGTCATCACGAATTAACTTTATGGAAAGTTCTTAAGGAATTGAACAAGAAATGCACGTGCAGACACAGCAATCGGGATACAGAGTGTGTATTCAGTATAACCTCAACTACAGTTAAAAAAAATAACAATCTGGGACCAGCAGTTAGCGTAATGGCTATGTCGCTGGACTCCCACATAGTCGACTGCAGTTCGCATCCTGGACCCAGTGGTTTAAACTCACGTCGGGCGCATTTGCATGCGTGCCCAAAATCCCGAGGGGAGAATGGAGAAGAAGGGATTGTGGTGTGACCATCTCCCATGGGGGGTGATTTCTCACTTTCTGTCTCTCTGACTCTCTCTCTCTGTCTGGTGAGCACATGTGCCCTATAGCAAAAACCTCTAAAAAAAATAAAATAAAGTAACAATCTCATAACAGAACAAGGGCACCTGCCGTAACATGACAGCCGAACGACAGACCCGCGCTGGCTGTGTCTCATGAGGGAATTACGTTTTTCCTGCTTACTTTATGTGTTTTTGTATCCACTGCCACATATAAAACTTTTAGAGTCAGAAAATTCTGTGTAAGTCATAAGAGAAATGAAAATTAAGAATGAATGAGAATCCACAGCAAGCGAGTCCTGCAGCTGGGGCAGTACCCTGGCAGGCACGATGCATGCCACTGGCGTGCATGTCCACGGGGTGGCCTTCACTCACCTTGCAGGAACTTGGAGCGCTTTTCTACTTTTTGCTGTTTTTCTGGTGGATGGCCCTGGTCCCACTCCTCTGCGACAATGCCCAGCTCAGACAGTCTTCTCTGATTTATAATCAAGTGTCTCACCTCCTCTGGGTGCAGGACAAGAAAAGACCATTGATTCAATCTATCAGAAATTCATTTTGAATACCAACTAAAGACGGCCACTTCCTCGTGAGGCAATCAAGCACTGGATACACTAGACAAGAACCTGCTCTCTGGAGCTGTGGCCAAGGAAGCCACATCAACACCAGGAACCCTGGCAGTTTGGGGGACATCCTCAGACCCCAACTCACAAGAGTTCCCTCCAAATGAGACCCTGAGTATGCTTTATTCCAGGAAATTACCTCATTTCAGTCTAAGGGAGACACTATAGTTTGGATCGGAACTTGATGGTGTTCTGAAAATTTTAGGAGGAAAGAAACTACCTCACAGAGTGAGTGATGTGGGCCCCGTGACTGACTCCTGTGGGTGTGTAAGGGGAGAAGGAAGGAGACCAGGGTGGACGGGCGCAGGCCCTGTGCTCTGCTCTCATGATGTGACACCTCAGGACTCTGCAAGACCTCTACAGATACGGCCCCTGGACCTTCAAGCCATAAACTGAATAAGCTGCTTTCATTTGAGTTACCCAGACCTAGGTATGTTCTGTTATTAACAATGCAACAGACTGGGATGAAATGTAGTACCTTTCACCCACTTTACAGAGGAGATGAGGACAGGAATTGAGAACTTAGGAGGTGTCAGATAAGACCTGGGGGCTGCTAGAACGGCCCTGTCACCCTTTATGGGTGTCAATATCTTTATGTCCTTGGGGCAGCTAATGGGTAGAGGCCAGGATGGCTGCTAACCCACAGACTCGCCCATGACAAGGAAATCCCCAGCCCACAGTGTCCGTAGGGCCTAGGGTAAGAAACCCTGCATAGGAAAGAAAGATAGAAATCGAAATTCGCAGGCCAGCCTGTGGCCTAGTGGCTGACTATGCAGTAAAGTACCAGACCCAGCAACTTGAAAACACATCGAGCAGTACCAGCAGGTGGTATAATGGTTACATTGCTGAACTCCTACATAGTCGACTGCAGTTTGAGACCCAGACCTGGTGGCTTAAAACTCACGCCAGGTATGTGTGGAGAAGGGATTGCAGTATGGACATCCCCCCAGGGGGTGATTTCTCATTTTCTGTCTCTCTCTGACAAACACGCATGCCCTATAGCAAAAACAACTCTCAAGAAAGAAAGACTGACAGACACACCAAGAATGTGCACATGCCAGTCCAGAATCCTGAAAGGAGGATGGAATACAGGTGAAGAGACTGAGGCCTGACCATGTCCCATGGAAGGCACTTTCTCACTTCCCTTCTCTCTGTCTCCACTGCAAGCACATGCCCCCCGCAAAATAAATAAATAAATAAATAAATAAATAAATAAATTGTAATTAATGAAGAAGAGAAAGAAAGAAGAAGAAAAAATCTGAAGGCTCAAATCTCCATTCCCAGAATGGTTCCTGGAGAAAAGGCAGGCTGGAAACCGGAGACAGCCAGGGTTTTTCAGTCACACCACATCAAGGTCACAGCCTGGTGCTGCTGTGGACTTTGGCAAGCGTGTTCTCAGTGAGGTTCCTGCACACGAGCAACTATGCTAACAGTGAGTGTGGACAACGCACACCCCTGCTACTTCGGCCCAGTGGGGCAGGCGCCATTTCTTTTCTTCTTTTAACAGATGAGAATCAAATGTTCAAGGACAGGCCCAAAGTCCCCAGCAGGCCTAAGGGCCCAACTTCACAGCCAGGGTCTTCCCATCCCTCTCAGTTTTCTCCTTTGAGGGGAGTTCAAAAGACTTTCTGATATTGATAGAATATTTGTACAAGTCTAAAAAGGTTTGTATGAAACTGACAACCTGGTTATCTCAGGTGGGAGAACTTTTACATCTTCGCTCTTGTTTCTTGGTATTTTTTTCCCTCCAATGAACACACAGGATGAGCCCAGGTAGACTGGTGGTGTTGACTGTTCTCTCAGAGATGCAGAAGAAGGCGTCCACGGCCAGAGCATTGTCCCACTAGCAGACCCCCACAGCCCAAGCATGCCCAAGGGATGGCTGCCACGGACAGAAGCCACGTGGGGCTGTGCAAGTCAGCTGAAGAAGAACAAGGGTTTGCCAGGCTTCGTGCTATTACTGGTGACAAGCCATGGGCCTCCAGAAACATTTCAACTTACCAAAAGATCCTGTGTCGTCCAAAGGGCCAGCAGTCTTTAATCGGTAATACCTGGCTTTTTTTGAAACCTTGTCCTTAGTGTCCCAGAGCCTCAGGGTTACTTTGTGAAAGTTCATTTTCTTTAGCAATTCCTTGGTCATGTTGATGTTAAAAGTCTGGGTCCATGACACCCAGACTTTGTCACCTTCATGCCATGGCTTCACAGTCTGTGAAAGACAAAATTCAACAACATTCACTGTGGACAGAACTCAGGGCCACCCGCTGGCCCTGTCTCATGGTATGGAGCCAACACTGGCTCCCTCCTGGCTCAGAACTCCCAGCTGGAGACACGCGCTACAAACCAGACACTGCCACACCTCTCACCAGAAAGCCATGACCTCTCCAGTTACTGCCAAGCAGGGGCCCAGAGCGAGCCATCAGCAGGGTGTGCAGGCGACACATACCTTTACTCCCGACTCCAGGAACACCTTGGCCACTGATGGAAACAGCACCATGTCAACAATCTTGGGTTCCTCGTCATCTGGCAGAAGAGTGTACTCGATGTGATAGAAGCGGCGCACCTTCGCAACAGAATCTGTTTTAGGGCGTTTCCTATACTTTTCAATAAAACTTGTGTATTTTCCTTTGTGACCTAGAAGACAGATGCCGTGAGCCGTGTTTGAAGCTCCCCGGAGCCAAGGAGGAGCCTGACTATGGACACCCACAATGCTCACCGGCCTGAGCCAGTCCTGCCCCAGGTACCAGTGTGCAAGACTTGTGTGCATGGCTCTGAGAGTGAGATCAGGGGTGCACAGCCAGCTCATGGGAGCCAGTGCCACGATTCATCTGGTTTCTTCATCCATGAAGAACAGGCTCAGGCAAGGAGCCCCAACCGGGGGTGCCGCTGCATGAGGCTGGGGCTGAGTGCGGGGCCAGGTCCGGGTCCTGCACAAGGCTAACGGGCTGGGTCCAGGGGTATGTGCCAAGGTCCTGGCTGACTGGGATGCTGGGCTAAGAGCACTACGACAGGGGGAGACCTGTCAACTCCTCCTACTGTTCCTGGGGTTGCTGAGAGGATTAAGTATGTGCAGCCCATGCCACACGGATGTGCCTGGCCCACAGCTGGCTCCCCAAAATTGCTGTCTCTTTTCCCCTGATGCCCCGGCTGGCACTGGCCACCCCATCTGGGGTAGCACAGGGACAGGTGGGAAAAGACGCTAGCTCCTGGGAAGAAGCTGTCAGTGCACCTCCTCCAGGCAGAAGCTAGCACCCTGCTCTCACACCTACCGGCGAGTGTGGGGAAGGCCAGTGAGATGATGAACTTGCAGGGCACGAGTTGGGGCACGTCAGAGTTGGCGGTACTGGTGTGCTCGTCCCAGGACTCGGTGCTACTGCACTGGCGGTCGGAGTCTGAACCCTGGGCCTCGGCCTTGGCCTTGTGCTCCTCCGCCTCATGCTCACTCAGGGACTGGTAAAAGCTGGTGAAGGAGGACATGGGGTCCACACTGGCCCTGTCCTCATACTCCCACTCCCAGGAGTGCAGAGACATGCTGCAGATGGCTCGCTGCAGCGTTCCCACCTGGAGGAAGATGAAGGCCATCACCCTCAGTTCCCAGGGGCAAGCCCGGCTCAGGAACCCACCCTGCTCTCGTCCTGTCCCAGTCTGGCTGCCGTGGCCTCCACCACTGCCTGGCACACGGGGGTGCTCCATGAACTTGGGGAGCGGTGGAGGAGATGATCACGAGTACATGGTTCCAGCGTGGTTCCCCAAGACCCATACCTTGGGCCTCAGCTGTGTGGTGAAGGTATTAAGAGGAGCCTTGATCTGCTCATAGCACTGGGTGGTGGGCCTTTAGGAGGTGAGTAGGCTGAGTGTGGGACACCATGAGGACCCCGGGGGTTTACAGTCAGAGGGACTGAGCCCGGCGGCAGACGCACAAGCACAGCTCCTGCCTCACTGCCCCGTACACAGCAAGACCTTCCCCAGGCCGCCATCCTTGTACCTGCAAACGCCAGCTACTTTCATCCATCGCCAGACTCAGGCTGTTTTTAGCCGACCCCACCAGGCTACCTCCTTTCTCCAGCCCTGGACTGCCGCTCCTTTCACAATGAGAAGTCAGTCCTCCACAGCAGCCCGCCCCACACCCGGCGGAGGGAGAAAGCCTGCACCTGCGCTGGAAGACCGCCAGCTGCCATTTAGGAAAAGCCGACAGGCCAGAGGACAGCCAGGGCAAGCGCTGATGAGGCGCAGGAGGGCCAGACCCAGAGACCTCGGGCGGGGATCAGCGCGAGAGAATGGGCCTTGGAGGCAGGAAGGGCTGGCGGTGGGGAGTGGGCTCCGACCAAGGCCCTGGCGGTACCTGCAGGAGGTGTGCTGGGGCTCCAGCCGGCTCCCGGCTCCGGTGGCTCCGGACCGGACCAACTGCCTGACAGAGACAGACGTCGCGTCCTGGCGCGTCGTGACCCGCAGGACGCTGCCAAGGCGTTGGCCGTTGCTAGGAGACCGGCGGCTCGTGGGCGGGGTCGGTGTCCGCGCCCAGCCCACCTCCCGCCGCTCTGCAGACCCCTGCCAGGCGCGTCCCTGACCCCAGCGTGGGGAAAAGGGCTCCTGCCTTCTGACTCCACCAGGGCAAGGAAAGCTGCAAAATCAAACCTCCCCCATCCTGGCTTGTAAGACCGCTTTGGTTGAATGTCCTTTGAAGATTGTGAGCCCCCACCAGACACCCGGAAAATGGCTCAGAGAGGGGAAGCGAGCTGTGAGGGGTCACACAGCAGCCCTGGCCCACTCGCTTCAAAGCCCCTGGAACTAAACATCCCAGCTTCTGTTCCCACTGCAGAAGGCGGTGCACAACGACGGGGCTGGGCTGAGGATCCAGGTGGGTTTCAAGGAGGAGGTGAGGAAAGCCAAACATGGGTACTTGCCAGGCAGTGAAAGCAACAGAAGGTCTCCCGGCAGAGGAATAGCATCTGTGAAGGTCCAGGGGTATGAATAAGCAGGGCAAGTGCAGGGGAGGGTGCAGAGCCCAGAGCTCAGGCACACGCTCAGACCAGGGGCAGTGGGGAACCAGTGTTGAAGAGCAGTCCCACTCAGCCGCCAGCTTAGAACGGAAGTTGAGACTTTGGATACTTGCTGTTAAGGAAACAAGCTCTGTTTTGGGTCACCGGGAAAGCCTGGCAGGGTGGAGGCCAGGACCCAGCCTCCTGTGCGTGCTACTCGAGGGTAGGGTCAGCGGGAAGGCACAGCCCACTCTCACAAAGCGCTGCCTGGGTGTGCCGGGAGGCGACCCACGGAGGAGGTTGCCAGGCAGACTGTGATCCCCAGGCTCTCACAGCGACAGCTCCACCCTCTCTCCTGCTGCCACCCCACAGCCTGCCCCAAAGCAAGTTGCGACTTTTAAAAGGAACTGAGGGGGGCTACACCTGGGGGATGCACATTTGCCCTGGCTCCTGAATCACTCTGACCTAATGATATGCACCTGGCGGGGAAGGGACCAGCCTGGTATCCAGCCACAGGACAGGGCTCAGTCCTTAGGAAACAGAGCTAGCGAGCAGCACCCCTCACGCCACCCCAGAGCTCTGCCAGGGACAACCACAGCCCCTTCCAGGTACCGTGTGCTGGCCATACCGTCGGGGTCCACTCCAGTGCCCTGCAGACTCAGTCAGCCTGAAGAGCTGAGCCTCAAGAACAACTAGAGCCACTCGGCAGCAGGGCCTTGGAGTGGGGAGCACCTCTCACACCCAGACCCTAACACTGCTCAGCACCAGTGACCTGGAGCCCACGCCTGTAACCTGCAAAGGCTCAGAGGCACACTTGGGGCAGAAAAGGCTGAGGGGACGCTGGCTCCTGAAGCATGAGCACCTCCTTTTGAACAGGACTCTGCTGCCATTTTCCTTTCCCTGTTACCTGACCTCTATGTGCCTCCTGAAAATTACTCACTGAATGCTGATCACTAGATCAACACTGCCATCCATCCCTGTCCTGCTAACCAGATATTTACCAGCAGACGTAGCCAATTATAACTGTCCCTCCTGATTACTCGCTTTTTTGGCTTTTGTAAACTGATCTTGCATAACTCAAGGCCTGTACTTTCTTAGATGTGTAGTTTTTTTCCTTTGTGGTTTCTGCCTTTAAAAACCTTCTTTCCCCCTCCTTCGGGGCTGTAAGCTTTTGGAGTGACTTGAGTTATCCTGTAGCCACCGGCTTAATTAAAAGCTCCTTTAATTTGGATAAAACTGAATGTCCTCTATTTTCTCATGAATTGGAATATAACACTCCCATGGGGCTCTTTAACAGGGTTGGTCATCAGCCTGCCCCCAGATAGGTACTGGGTCCTACCCACTGGCCTGAGGGCCATAAATCTTGACCAAAGGCCAATTCCTGGCCCTGGATGGACATTAGGGTCACCAGGGAACAGGCCACAAATAAGGTTCCAAGGTTTCATTCCAGACTGGGAATTGACTCTCCAAAGACGGGCTTAGGAACTGGTGGTAGCAGCGTTTTCCACAGGCAGCCCTTCACGTGCTTCTCTTCCCATGGGCTGTCGACACTCCTGGCAGCCCTGCAGACCCAGGCAGACCTCTGCGACCACATGAGGTGGGAAGAAGGAATGCTACGTGGCCAGGTCATACAAACCCCGTATACTTCTGCCTTGTTCTTTTGGGGTGCACACTGTAGGAATCCAGTCACCATGTTGAGAGGAAGCCCAAGCAGCCACGTGAAAGGGCGACATGCGAGGGCCAGGAGATCCCAGAGAACGTGAGTACATGAGAGCACAGACCCCAGCCTCCAACCACTGAGCCACTGCGGTGACCTGTGTGGAGCAGAAGTCAGCCATGCCCCTCAAGTTCTCCCCAAACTGCAGACTTCTTAGTGACTTCTGCAGACTCCTCTTAAACCATTAAGCTTTGGGATGCAACAACAGATAGCTGACATAGAACCCCTGTTTCTAAGTTATCACCACCAAGGTTCAATTGCACAACTAAAATATGAACCACTTGTCTGAAAGAGACAGTGGTCGGCCAAGACCTATAGAACTCCATGGGGGCGAGGTGCACCGGTGGCTCCACTGTGGGTGAGTAGTGGCAACAAGAATGACTCAGGGCTGGCAAAGTCAGAGCAAAGAAAGAGGCTGTTGCTGATCCAGTTGCTGTTGCCAACAAGTCAGTCCAGAACGGAGTAGCCCAAACCACCACCACTTGGCATTCCCTCACCTCTGCAGTTCACTGGGCTGTACTCCTCAGAACCAACATGGCTGGAAGGTCTAAGAAGGCTTTGTATGGGTCTGGAGGTTGGTGCTGGCTCCTGCCTGGGTACCTCAGATGCTCTCATCCACAGACCTCCTCGCCCCAGTGGCAGACCAGCTCCTGACATGATGGGCACTTGGTTCCCTCACCCAGGTAGGGCCTCTTCAGATCCAGCGTGAAATTCTAAAACCTCCCTTCTGCCACATCCCGTGGACCACAGTCTGTCTCAGGCCAGCCCAGATTTAGGGCAGACGTGGACTCCACCTCCAGAGGGCAGGAAAGGCATGGCCAGGGCAAACACCCAGCAGGGAGATGTCAGAGGCTTCCTTTCCCCCAGTCTGGGACTCCTGAAGCGGCTGGGCCTGCAGGTGCTTTCTAAAGCTGTCCCAAGGCCAGCGGCTAGAAGCTATGAAGGCAGTTGCGCCACCTTCTTGCCACCCCAGCCCAGCCAGAGCATGTGGTGAGCCATTTTAGTTCATAAAATCCACCCCCCATTTCAAGTAGAATTCAATGATTTTTAGTAATGTTCACAAGCAGTGTGATCATCCCCGAAAGTTCACTTTAGGGCATTCTCTTTCCCACGGAATATTCTTCATTCACACTCACAATTAACCCCCACTCACACTCCAGTTTGGGGCAACCACTAATCCTTTTCCTGTCCCTAAACTGTGCCTCTTCTGGACATTTCCTACAAATAGAGAGGCATGACATGCGGAGGGGCTTTGAGACTGGCTTCCTCTGGTCTGTGTTTTGTTTTGCGGTATGCTTGTGCCATGGCCTCAGTCAGCACCCATTCTGTGTGTGGTTGACTGATCCTCCACGTATGAAGAGACCCCAGTTGGTCCACCTGTAGTTAATGGGCACATGGATGTCTGTGAAATGCTATGATTCATTCACATTCAAATGGGCAGGTGTTTTCATCTCTCTTGGTAGACATCTAGGGGAGGAATTGCTAGGAGTATAATGGCTGATTCTTAAGAAACTGCCAGACCGTCTTACAAAGTAGCTGCAGGTAAGGGCTCTGCACCCTTGACAGGAGTCATTGTCTGTCTTATCTACTGGGTTATCAGAAAAGCCATGATGCATTTTTGCATAGAAAAAAATACATCGTAACTCTGCTGACCACCCAATATTAGCACTGTTCTCACGGGTGTGATATGTGGTATCTCCAAAGCATTCATGGAAACTGTGTATTATTAAAACTATGCATGAGGGCCAGCAGGTGCATGTGTTAAGGACTTGGGTCCCACATGGCCAAAAAGTCCCAGACCTGGCAGCCTGGAAAATAAGCTAGGCATGTGTGTATGCACGTCCAAACACCCAAGAGGAGAATGAAAAACAAATTGTCTCTGATGAGTGCATGTGCCCTGTGGCAAAAAATACACACACAAACACACAAAGTAAAAAAAAAAAAAGTCTATGCAGATTTCAAAAAAATTGCAACAAAATAAACTCATACACTCATACTTTGATCTCATTTTTCCACAAACTTTTTTAAAATTTGCTTTAGGGCACATGCAGTCACCAGAAAGAAACAGACAGAGAGGGAAAGTGAGAAAACACCCCAGGGTGGATGCCCTTGCCACAATCCCCTCTCCATTCTCCTCTTGGAATTTTGGGCACGCACACATACATGACCTGTGTGTTTTTCAAGCCACCAGGTCTAGGACTCAAACCACATAGTTGGCCATATGAGATCCAGTCACCTTAACCAACACACCACAGGCTGGCTCTCTCCTGGTTTTGAAGTCCCTTCACAGTATCTCATTGTGGTTTTAATTGTACTCCCTGATGACAAATGACACCGAGATCTTTGCATAAGCTTGTTTGCCATCGATGTATCTTCAATGAGATATCTGTCCATCTCTCTCTCCTACATTTTTTGGAGAGGTTTTTTGCTATAGGGTGCGTGCACTCACCAGAAAGACAGAGAGAGACAGAGACAGAAAGTTAGTAATCACACACCCCCCTTCCCCCCAGCAGGGATGGCCATACCACATTCCCTTCTTGCGCTAGGGCCTCGAGCCCAGCCACGGCATCCCCATGGTGCAAGCTGCCCCGGGCTCCAGCCAGCCCAGCTCTGCAGCCCCTACTGCCTCCTGGCCCAGAATAGGAAGGGGTTCTCTGACCTCAGCCTCCTCTACCCCAATCAAGTCAGGACCCCCTTCCTAGGGTGCAGGAGGCCTGCGGGGCCTTTGCCCAGCCCGCCCTCCCCAGTGTCAGGTGGCTGAATAC